CCGGTGGATCCGCCGGAAAAGGCAGATCTGAAAGAAATTTCCGGCGCGAGAGAGAGGGTTTTTTGCTACAGTAAAAAGAGAGAGGAAAGCGGTAATAATAAACAATTCTTAAAAAGAAGTTTTTGATTTTTTTCAATACAATGTCTGAAAGATAGGTAACTATTAAATTGGGGCCTAAAAGATTTTTTTTTCTAATTTCAGGAACTAAATGTTATAAAATTATCAAATTACGTTCTAGAATTAATACAAAATCCATAACACAATAAAATTGAGAGTTAATTTGAAGTTTTAAAACACCAAATATGTTATAAAGTAAAAAATAAAAAAAAAATGAAGAAAATTAAGGAAAATACGAGATTGTTAGAGAAAATTAAGGAAAGTGTGAAGCTCTTGCTCAGTTTTCTTGCTATCGTCTATTTCTGCCTTTTTCAAGAAATATCATGCAAATGTTTACTTATTATTTTATGTGAGCCGAGCTCGGGTCTTAATGAGAATTCGAGTTTTAATGATTCAAACTATAAACAAAAATAACATAAAAATCATCTTTTCGAATCTTATCGAGTTGAGTCGAACTCGACTCGTCAACCAAACGAGCTTCAAATGATCTTGAGCTTAAATCTTAACGAGCCGAGCTAACAAATGACTCATTTAATTTATCAGCTCCCTTGCCATAGAGTCGACCCATCAAGCATGTATCTTCTCATAAAAAGATTTGTGAGATAGAATATCATATCTATTAATATATAATAAGGATTAACATAATTCACTTTTAGAAATAATTTCCCGCCAATTTTATTAATTATTGTCTAAAAATAGTAAATTAACAAAAATTAATGTCATTAATGTACATAATCTTTTTAGTCAATTATTTATGATTATTACCTTTATTAGTAGAATTTAAATTTAGGATGATTTAGTTTTATGGAAACAAATATTGGGGTATTATAGAAACTTTCGAAATCCTTAGTTTAAATATATAGACTTGATTGAGCAATTATAGAGAATTAATCGTTAATCTTTATATCTATATTATATTTCCTGTATTGAGTAAAACATAATAAATTAATACTTATGTTATTTTTCATACATCTTTTTGTTGGCATAGTAGAGTTGCAAGATTATCTTTCTCTTCGTAGACAAGATAACCAAATACAAAATATAAATAACATTTATTTGCCGTTAAAAAATATTTTGGACAAAATGTAGAAATGACTTTTAGAAAATACTTAATTAATTTATGGTATAAAGTTGACAAAATTAATAAATCCAATTTTGGTATAAAGTTGATGATTTTATTTTAAGTATCTGATAGCCATTTTTATTTTTTTCATAGAAAATGTGTTGTTAATAATAAATATTTGATTTTATGGTATAAAGTGGGTGATTTATTTTTAGTACGAAATGTTCAAATTTAAATAGTATGAATTTTATTTGGAATGGATAGAAGTATATTTGAAATTATTTTAAACAAAATAAGAGCATTTACAATGCATAAATGTTGTTATCACATAAAATTTTGACAAATGTCAATTGTTTATATGGATTGTGAACCACATAAGATATTTGTTAAGTTCACAACTTTATATCTAAAAAATTATCTGCGTGCACAATGTGATCAAATATAATATTGTCAATTTGCAAAAATAAAAATAAAACATAAATAAGAAACAAAAAATAAATTAATAATTAGATATGTTAAAAAAGATATTCTATAATATTTGATTAAACACTAAATCCGGCTATTTGGAATCAATTATATTTAAAAGCAGTATTATTATGGAACCAAATGTTGTGGAATATATTTTTAGGAACAGTATAATTATGATATCAATATATTTAACCACAATTCAATCTTTTTAATTCAATCCATATCTGTTTTTTGACTTATCAATTCATTTCAATATAATATAAATTTACCGTAAAAATGAGAGTTGGACTTTACAATAGTCACGATATCAATATTAACAATATAAATGCTAATTAAAATTTAATTATTTGGACTGTACACTTTATTATATACATATAAATAAATCGCCTATTTGAACATTAAATATTTTTTTTTTTTCATATACAGTTATGCAATACATGCAACTTAACTAAAAGTAAAAAATATTCTAAAGATTTCATTTCAATCATGGTAACATGTTTTTAAAATTGCCACAATTTTCGATTCACTAATCCACTACTCATGTAAACATCTTTTTGTTATAATATACGATTTTCTTTTTATCATTTTGAATCATTTCTTATCACTTTTTTTATGAAACATATTTTTCATTTAAAAACCGTGATTTACATGTCCTCCGATTCATTTAGTTATTTTTTATATACAAATGATAAAATATCGTTGTTGTTTTTTTTTCAAACGTAATTATTTTTATAAATATGTTTTACAAAAGATACAACCAAAATTCCAAAACGATTGACAAAATAAAAAAAAAAAAAAGATATACTCAAAATCCACACTTAACTTTTAGGTAACAATTTTCCTTATACTCGATATAAAATTAAACTTCACCAGATAATCATATCTTTAGTATCTATCACAATATTACATATTTTCACTATAATTTTATTTCATGGTGGTAACATTCCGGAAATCATCAAAAAAAAAAAATGAAGGAATGAGGTGTCTATGCAATTCACAA